ACCAGTATTTTAACACTCACTGATTTTGTGAAATTTTCTGATGTTTTACTATAATATCTTGGCAAATAGTATTTGTGAACCTATATCAGTATTTGTTTCAAGAATGAAGTAGTAAATAAAGGAGAAGGAGAAAAATAAAAAATGGCTTCTGCTCGGTTACTAATATAGAAAGTTACTATATTACTAACTCAATATAGAAAGATTTTGTTTTTAGTATTGATATAAGAAATATTGCATTTAAGGAATTTAAACCATATTTATCACATATTGTTCTGTGATTAAAATTGGTAGTAAATATTACTAAGGATTCTGTATAGTCTAGTTTGGGAGGAAGTCCATGGTGGGGGAGACACCATGAGACATTGCACAGGTGACATCAACCCTAGTGACACCATTGTTAAAGGAAACTACACCAGTCTCCTACTCTCAGTTTGGGAGTCTATCAAGCTCCCCTTTATTGTTTCTCTTTCAATTCACCCTCAAGGCTTTTTAGCTGCGGCTTCCTGATCCTATAATGAGGTGTATATCGATCTGAAATCCTTTCTCACTGCCTGTCTTTCTTGAGCAGACAGCCCAGACTGCTTTCTAATCACAGTGTGAGTGTCCTCTCACTCCGCCTCAGGTGTACTAGTTAGGGCAGAGACATGGTCATAAATCAAAACCTCTAGGCCACTGTCTCCCTGGCCCTGCAAATGTAAACAAGGCCGGATGTTTATGTCTCACCCCCCTGCCTCCTTTCTTTCTCTGCAATCCAGCTTCTCTGTGGAAAAGGAGGGCTCAACTTCTCAACCCAAAAATGTTGTTCTTCACTCAGTCAGGTCCCTTTAGTCCTGATCCCCACACTTTCCTTTATTAAACTTAATAACCTATGTCTGTGACAAAACCATTTTATTACTATTAACTTTACTTCTCCCCTAATAGCAGTTGACTCATAAAAAAACACTTGTAATCTACATCCTGTGTTTGAAACTAAATAATATTGACCATAGTTTACTGTTACTCACTCTTTAACATCAGCAGCCAAGGACAGAAACATCGTGTGTATGTGAGAGAGTGGGAATGGGGGTGTCTGTCTTTAAGCCCCTTTTTCTCAATCATAACCTGTCAATTCTCAATAGTGTACTGAGCAGGGTCTTTACATGTGATTTCTCAGATACACTGACAAATTAGACAAAGTTCAATCTTTATCCCTCAAAAGAAGGGAAGGTATTTCTTGGTACCTTCTGTTTTAAAATTTTAATTTTGAATCCTCCCTATCAAGCCCACAGTCTCAGAGTTGAGGTATAATTAGGACATATCTTCAGTTCCCAATATTTGCCACTAAAACCAAATCCACACAATCTGAAGTTAGTGTCAGATTTAAGGGAAATGGCCTGATGAAGAGCCCCCAGATAGGCTTTCACAGGCCAGGATTTTGGCAACATCACCTGCTGAGTTCTCCTGGGGCATTTCTCCACAGGTAAGAACTCTTGTGTCTAGGTTCAGTTTGTGTCTAGGTTCAGTTTGTGTCTGTTGCTTGCAGTACTGATTATAGCTGTAAGAAACCCTCCTTGGAATGCAGAGCCCTGAAAGCCGTAGGAGGAACAAAGGAAAGTGACCTTGCATAAAAAAAAAGAGGAATTGTGTAAGGTGAAGCTCTTATAATCACCACAGTAAACAAGAACTCTCAGCTATGTATGAACTATTAATTGGAAAACTAATATATAAACTTTCACCTAAAATACAATAATTAAAAAAAAAAAAAAAAGGAATTCTCAGCTATTTAGCCTCTCATGGCTGGGTTTGTATGTTTGTCCCAAAACCACATTTTATGGACTGTTAATAAATATTTTATTGGGAGCTCTGGTGGCATAGTGCCTAAGGCACTTGGCTGCTAACAAGAAGGCTGGCAGTTCAAACCAACCAGCCACTCCTTGGAAGGAAGGTTGGGCAGTGTACTTCCGTAGTGATATCGCCTCGGAAACCCAAGGAGGGGTCACTGTGAGTCAGATCTGACTCCATGGCAGTGAGTTTGGTTTGGTTTGGTTTTGGTTAATAAATAAAATGGTAAATATTTTATTAATAATACTATACTATAACATATATTAATTACATGTAATATCTTGCAGGGAGCTCTGGTAGCATAGTGGCTAAGGCACTGGACTGCTGACCAGAGGGCTGGTGGTTCAAACCCACCAGCAACTCCTTGGAAGGAAGATGGGGCAATCTACTTCCATAGTGATACTGCCTCGGAAACCCAAGGAGGAGTCGCTATGAGTCAGGTCTGATTCAACGGCACATAACAACAACAACAACAATATCTTGCAATATGATATAGTCATTAATGATGTTATATAATGCTAATTATTAATATAATAATAAAATTCTTTAATAGATATTGTTGAATTGGAAATGTAACTCAAATTTATATAAAATTTGAGACTCTTGACTCTAGTTTTCTGACTTGTTGATTTGGAAACTCCACATGACTGACCTGAGCCCTAGGCTCAAAATGTTCACTGGGTCTGATGTCCTGAACTTTGGGGTAGAAATAGGACTTACTCTCCCATATTGGTATTAATTTGTTATTACTCCTCAATCCAACAAATTTGGGTCAGTCAGATATTTATTAGGTTCTGTTTCAGTGTGAGGGAGATTTCCCTAGCATCTGCTCAGAACTTACTTCTTAGCCCATGGAATAGCACAATTGCTGCTTAACAAACCACCCCAAAACTTAATGACTTAAGACAACTGTTTTTATTTGCATCCCTTTTTGTGGGGGTTAATAATTTGGACAGGACTCGACTGGTAAGCTTGCCTTTGTTTCATGTGGTATCAGCTGAAATGGATTGATGGCTGGAGGATCCATCTCTAAGACAGCTTGTCCACAAGGCTGATGACTAGCAAGTTGGTGCTGACTGTTGGCTGGGAGCTCAGCAGAAAATGTTGTCCCATGGCCTTCCCCGCTGGCTGGTGTTTGGGTAGTTGAAGTTCTTATATGGCAACTCAGCTCTCAGAGAGAGTGCCAAGGGCCAGGAAGGGGAAGTTGTCATTAAGGCCTAGGCTCAGAAACTGATACAAAGTCACCTCTGCCATACTTTAACGATCAAAGCAATCACAGAGATAACCCAGAATAAAGGAGAGGGAACATAAGCTCCACCTGAGGATGGAAAGGAGGAAGGAACCAGGGACTATAGGACTTTGGAGACCATCAGGTTTGATCCCTGCAGTGGAAACCATGTTTGTGTCTAGTATATTCCATCCATTCATCCAGTCATCCATCTGTCCATCCATCTAGTTGTCTGTTCACCACCATTCATTCATGCAATCATCAAACCCTGCCTGATCACCTTCCATATGCTGGAGATACAGGAGTGAACAAGATCAACTTAGTCTGTACTTTTATAGAGCTTACTCCCACCGCCACCGGGTATTCTTATCTTTAGTACATCCATCAAGCAATGAGATCTCTCTAGTTCTATCATCCTAGGATAATATCCCATAAAGCTCACCCTTACTCCCACTTCCTGGTCATGCTTATTTGAAAATGCATATTCTGGTTACAATGAGTACTTAGTGTTAGAATGAGGATGATACAACACAACTGCTATTGGAAAATCCTCAGGAACTACTAATGACAGTGCCATCCCTAATGCTACCTGAGCAAATCTGGCCATGTCCTGGATACAGTCACAGCTACTCCTTCCTCCAGGCAAGGGCATTTCCTTCTCTGTAGACTTACTGGCTCTGAGAACACAATTTTCCCAAGAGTGGTCTCTGATGTTATGAATGTCTAGCACAAGAGAAATATTCTGCTAGTTAATTCAATTGAACTCATCTCAACTCAAGTTAGCTATATTCAGTTCAGTTGGGCTCAGCTTAACTCAACTTTACTCAACTTAATTCATCCATCCATCCATCCATGCTTTCAGCAAGTATTTTGTGGATAGTCCTTTATGTCAAATTCTATTTTCAGCCTGGGGTCCAGCTGGAGTTGCTGCCACTGTCGGACTCATCTTTTCATTCCAATCCAAATGATAGCCATGTGTTGTGGTAGAGAGAAGACTGGCTTTATTGTCCTCTATGTTTGCAACTTAGCTCTGACACTTATTACCTTGAGAAATTTTCTTAACCTCTCTGAGCCACAATTTCTTCATCTGTATAGTGGGATAATAATACTTATTTTGTGGGGTTTGTCAGGATTAAGTTAATAGAAGGCACTCAAAAATGGTATCCATCAAATCCCCCACTTTTTTCTAACCTATCTGGACCTAAGGAAAGAGCAATCAAAAAAAAGACCCAAAGCTTACTCTAAAATCTAGAAAACAGGAGAGTTCACTTAGAAGGAAAGTACTCACCATTGCAGTATGGTCCCAATGCTTGTGATGCTGTCTCTGTCCTAGGATTCTCCATGTTCCCCAAAGATCTCTTTGGAAATCCTTGCTGCATCCATTCTGGGAAATCACCTTGATAATTACTCAAGTTATATTATTGCTTCCCAGAGCTCAGCCTGATCCTTGATTTCTTGTGTTCAGAATCAGGGCCTAAGAGTTTGAGCACATCTTTAGCAATTCCCTTGGTGTTGTGCCCATTCCCATGCAAGCAGGGAGAAGATATAATAAAAAATGGAGGATATAGTGGTAGCCGGCCCAGAAAACCAGCCCAGCAGAACCTTGGAAGAAGCACAGTTAGGAACATCCTGTAGTATTGCAGAGAAACATGAGGACAAAAAAAAAAAAAACTAGTAGGACATCCAAGAGTGGAACCACAGTAGAGAAAGTGAGACTACATCAGGGTAAGTTCCTGCCAAACCCTGCCTTAAAAATAGATGGACAACTTAGCTACAGGATGCCCAGTGCTCTGCACTCTCAGGTTCCCTACATTGGGAAGGCCTTCTATTTATCTCTATCTCCTTGTGTCCATTTATGGCTAAAATCAGATGCAGGTTTCTCCTCTAAAAAATATACATTCTATTCAGATGCTGTCCAGGGTTCTCTCATGTGAATACTCTCTATTTTTAGGTACTCATTGGTCTCAGATGCAGAAACAGAAAGCATTTTCATGGAGCCCATTCACCTCTCCTCAGGCATTGCAGCCAAGCAGATCATCAATGAAGGTAATGTATGCAGAAGCTGGGTGGGAGCAGGGTGAGTCCCACCGTCATATAGAAATCCTGGAGTGTGAGCAGTGGAAAGTATAAATGTGCCTCTGAGTACTGCCCATCACATTGAGAAGAGGAAATCCAAGGAGAACAATTCTGCCAACCCCTCTTTATCAGCTTCACAGGACAGGGGTAGAAATTATTATACATCAGTGTGAACAGTTACCCAGTCCACAGCCAGGGAGGCAGCTCCAGGTGGCAGAATCTTCCCTTGAAGCCTCTCATTCAATACTCTGGTTAACCTCAGGGGTTCTGGGCAGCTCATGCCAGAGACAAACCTTATTGTTGTTGTTGGCGAAGTCATCAAGTCAGTCCTGACTCATAGAGACCCTAGATACAGCAGAATGAAATGCTGCCTGGTCCTGCATCATCCTCACAATCATTGCCATGCTTGAGCCCGTCATTGCAGCCACTGTGTCAATCCATCTAGTTGAGGGTCTTCCCCTCTTTTTCTGACCCACCACTTTATCCAGCATCATATCTTTCTCCAGGGACTGGTCCCTTCTGACAACCAAAGTATGACAGATTTTGGCCATTGACAAGTCTGGCCATTCTTGCTTCTAAGCTTCTAAAAAACTTTCTGGCTGTATTTTCTCCAAGACACATTTGTTCATTCTTCTAGCAATCCATGGTATCTTTGGTATTCTTTGCCAACACCACAATTTAAAAGCATGGATTTTTCTACAGTCTTTGTTCATTGCGCAGCTTTCAAAGGCATATGAAGTTATTGAAAATACCATGGCTCGGGTCAGGCACAACTTTGTCTTCAAAGTGACATCTTTGCTCTTAAACACTTTAAAGAGATCCTTTGCAGTAGATTTGTCCAATGCAACACATCATTTGATTTCTTGACTTTCTTCCATGGATGTTGATTGTAGATCCAAGCAAAATGACACCTTTGACAACTTCAGTCTTTTCTCCATTTATCAAGATGTTTCTAATTGGTCCAGTTGTGAGGATTTTTGTTTTCTTTATATCAAGGTGTAATCTATACTGCTGACTGTAGTCTTTATTCTCCATCAGTAAGTGCTTCAAGTCTTCATTTTCAGCAAGCAAGGTTGTATCATCTGCATATCACGTGCAGATTGTTAATGAGTCTCCCTCCAGTCCTGATGTCATTATCTTCTTCATATAATCCAGTTTCTCTGATTATTTGCTCAGCATACAGATTGAATAACTATGGTGAAAAGATGCAACCCTGACACACACATTTCCTGAGGATACCATGCAGTTTCCTCTTGGTCTATTTGAACAACTGCCTCCTTTACTATGTACAGGTTCCTCATGAACCAATTAAGTGTTCTAGAATTCCCATTCTTTGCAATACTATCCATAACTTGTTATTATCCATGTAGTTGAATGCCTTTTGCATTGTCAATGAAACACAAATAAACATCCTTCTGATATTCTTTGCTTTCAACCAAAATCCATATGATATCAACAATAATATCCCTCCTTCCACACACTCTTGTGAATCCACCTTGAATTTCTGACACTTTCTTGAAATTTTACTTGCGTGTGATATTAATGACATTGTTTCACAATATCTGTTCTGTTGGATCACCTTTCTTTGGAATGGGCACAAATATGGACCTCTTCCAGTTTGTTGGTCAGGTAGCTGTCTTCCAAATTTCTTGGCATAAACAAGTGAGTGCCTCTAGCATTGCATCTGTTTGTTGAAAGATATCAACGGGTGTTTCATCAATTCCTGGAGCGTTTTTTCTTTTGCCAATTTCTTCAGTGCAGCTTGGACTTCTGCCTTCACTACCATTGGATCTTGATCATGTACTACTCTCTGAAATGGTCGAACATCAATCAATTCATTTTTGGTACAGCATCTCTGTATATTCCTTCCATCTTCCTGTGACGGCTCCTGCAGTTGTTCAGAATTTTGCCCAGAGAATCCTTCAGTACTGAAACTCAATGCTTGAATTTTTTCTTTCAGTTCTTTAAGCTTGAGAAATTCCGAGCATGTTCTTCCCCTGTGATTTTCCATCTCCAGGTATTTGCACATTTCATTTTAATACTTTACTTTGTCCTCTTGAGTTGCCCTTTGAAATCTTCTGTTAGATCTTTTACTTCATTATTTCTTTCATTCACTTAGAACCTCAGAAATAACTAGGGGCCTCCAGTTCTGTTCAAAGGAATGCCTAGATTTAGGTTTCCATTTCCATTAGTTGTTTAAAGATGGTCTGCAAAGTGGAGTATGTATATGGGGAGGAGGTGAAGATGGGGAGAGATGCTAATATTGATCCAGTAAATTTTGAAATGGGTGATATACTAGATTACATTCAAAGATATTCAGTTGACTGGATAGATTATTTCGCCTAGTCAAATTTGGGCAAATAATCTTTTGAGATTTCTTTCATCCCTTTTGCCTGGGTGACCTCTTAGCACTTCTGTTGGGGTTGGTGGGATGGATGAAATGGGGCCCAGTTACTCTTTGGGCATTCTCTGACATCCACTGCTATGGGTCATGATCCTTTTTCTGGCTTTAGTCATAGAAGCACACAAGCTGCTCCTTCTCTGTGCTAACACCAGCCTTTTTCTTTTATCCTCTGGCCCTTTGGGTCCCCATTAAATCCTCTTCCTCAAAGACATCTGAATCTCCTGCACACCTCAATGGAACCAGGAGTTCTATCTGCTATGGCTAGTTGCTCTGGTCCTCTGTGAGGCATAACCTTCTCAAAATCTTCTCTGGTGGGTTTTTTTTTTTTTTTTTTTTCTGTATTCTTTAATCTTCTTCACTGGGATGTCTGTTATCTTACTTCAAGCCAGGTCACAGCCACAGAACCCAGGCAGTGTGTTCACCCTGGTCTAGTTCTCTTGGAATTGCTCCCAGGACCACCTGAGCTCTGGAAGATCTTTTCCTCCCCTTGTGTGGCTGGGAATTTCCCTTATTTTCTGTCTTACCTCTTCCCTACTCTATGCTTCCTTCCCCCTGTGATCCACTCTCCAGACTTTGGTTCTTGCTAAATAAAAGTCCATCTTTAGGACTTGTGTGAAAAAACTTTTTCTCTTTTTCAAAGCTCACTTTCAAATCTATTGAACGTTATGGATATTCAAAATCTAGTTTGAAACTAAAAGCAGAGTAAACCAAACACCAAACCAAACCCATTGCCATCAAATCAATTCTAACTCATAGTGACCTTTAAAGGGTTTCTGAGGTGGTGAATCTGTATGGAAGTAGATTGCCCTGTCTTCCATCCACTCTGTGGCAATCTGCTTATATAAAAAGATAAGTAGTACCTTCTTTATTCTAGATCTTATCTACTCTCTCTTTCTCTGGAACATTATGCTTCAGTTTGTCTTGGTGGATAAAGAGTTATGAGGGAAGGAAAAGGAAAAAAAAAAAAAAAAAAAAAAAAAACTAGTAGGACATCCAAGAGTGGAACCACAGTAGAGAAAGTGAGACTACATCAGGGTAAGTTCCTGCCAAACCCTGCCTTAAAAATAGATGGACAACTTAGCTACAGGATGCCCAGTGCTCTGCACTCTCAGGTTCCCTACATTGGGAAGGCCTTCTATTTATCTCTATCTCCTTGTGTCCATTTATGGCTAAAATCAGATGCAGGTTTCTCCTCTAAAAAATATACATTCTATTCAGATGCTGTCCAGGGTTCTCTCATGTGAATACTCTCTATTTTTAGGTACTCATTGGTCTCAGATGCAGAAACAGAAAGCATTTTCATGGAGCCCATTCACCTCTCCTCAGGCATTGCAGCCAAGCAGATCATCAATGAAGGTAATGTATGCAGAAGCTGGGTGGGAGCAGGGTGAGTCCCACCGTCATATAGAAATCCTGGAGTGTGAGCAGTGGAAAGTATAAATGTGCCTCTGAGTACTGCCCATCACATTGAGAAGAGGAAATCCAAGGAGAACAATTCTGCCAACCCCTCTTTATCAGCTTCACAGGACAGGGGTAGAAATTATTATACATCAGTGTGAACAGTTACCCAGTCCACAGCCAGGGAGGCAGCTCCAGGTGGCAGAATCTTCCCTTGAAGCCTCTCATTCAATACTCTGGTTAACCTCAGGGGTTCTGGGCAGCTCATGCCAGAGACAAACCTTATTGTTGTTGTTGGCGAAGTCATCAAGTCAGTCCTGACTCATAGAGACCCTAGATACAGCAGAATGAAATGCTGCCTGGTCCTGCATCATCCTCACAATCATTGCCATGCTTGA